TTGAAGAGTGATCAGTGATCTTCGCGAATACCACCCTGTCAAATTTTAGACAAAAAAAATCTTAAAAATCAGAAAGAATTATCAAAAATAGCTGAAAAACTTGAAAAGGTCTAAAAATTTTGCAAAAAATTCAAGAGAAAATCAATTTTTTCATGGTCAAGACAGGGATGTTCGGTATGGCCTTTTCGGAAAATTTATATTTTGAAAAATTCGAAAATTTCAGAATATTCCGATTTTGAAATTTTCGGAATTTCAGAATTTTCGAATTTCTTAAAAACTCAAAATTTAGTTTCAGGGCCGGAATTCAGATTTCAAACACTTTTAAAATCAATTTCAGATGGCCGCTTCTGCATTCAAAGAGAGAAATTTGGAAACCAATATTGTGCAGGAACCATCACTTGGTATGTTTCTGAGCTCCTGGACGTTTCAGAACCACGACCTTTCAGAACCCGACGTTTCAAAAAATTTTCTCCATTTTTGGAAAGAGGTTTTTAGACACCGAATGAGTATTTCTCATTTCAATTCATTGTTGTTCTGTTTTTCATTCATTCTCATCTACCACCGTACTCCAAATAATGATAGGCTCATACACGGAAACTCTTCAAAAATCGACATTCATGTTTGCATAATTTTAGTAATGACATCGTTTTTGAAATTTCAATGTTTTTTTTTGGAATTTTCGAGGGTTTCCGAGTGTGAACCTATCATTATTTGGAGTACGGTCAAAAAATTGAAATGAGCAATACTCATTTGGTGTGCAAAAACCACTATGCAAAAATGCAGAAAAGTTCTGAAACATCGGGTTCTGAAATGGCGCGGTTCTGAAACGTCCAGGAGAATGTTTCTATTCATTATGAAAAATTGAAATTGCAGATGAAACAACGTCCCCAATGGATTATGCATTCCGCAGCGAACAATCATCAGAAACCATACAATAAATTCGTTGAGATGTATTGATCTTACACCATTCGATTGTCATATCAACCAACCATTTTATCCTACTAATTAAATGTTTTCCCCGTTTTCACTTTACATCTCCTTTTTTTCTCTTTTTGTTCTTCACCTACTCCTTCTTCGCCTCATCTTCTGTGTTTTCAATTCTTTTTTCGTAGAAGAAGAAAGCTTGGATAGGTAGTATCCAGAGGAAGAAGAATGAGAATTTCTGATGAAATTTGAATTTTCTTTGCTTCGATACTTCTATTCTGCGTTCCCCCACTTTATTCCCGTTTCCCCCCAAACACATCCTGATTTCATTATTGCCCCACTCCTCCCGGTTCATCATATTTATCATATCTACGTATTTTTCTCTCTCTTTTTGACAGTATAGACAATTGCACTACCCATTTCACTTCATTTACGGTTTCTCTTTTCTTTTTTCTACTGTCATACAACTAGGATTTCATTCATTAGCAAGTTATTACAATTTCCTCTACGATTCTGTCTGAAAAAATGAACGAATTGCGGAACACTTTCTTGTTTCGAGTTTCGGAAATCAAAGATTGACACAAGAAAGGATACGTCAGCTTCTGGTGACGAAAATGAAAAGGAAGAACCAATTATTTTTGATTATAGGTTCCAGCTACAGTAGTCTCCCTTGTTCCTATAAAAGGGTTCCCTTCTATTCTCAATCGATTCATGATTGTATTTTCTTCTCTTCTACACTATCGTAAAGTGACGCTCTCCTCTTCCATTTTGTCGTCTCGATACGGACGGTCCATTGGAGGCACTATGGCTCCGAAATGAGCCAATCGGGTCGACCGCCTGACTCTACTCACTTCTCATCGCGTTTCATCCTTTCTTCCCTTTTTCTTTTTCCATACTATCAAAATTGTCTTCTTCGTTTTCTTCTTCTTATTTGAAACCACGTTTGTTTTTATATACGTTTAGTTTGAGACGAGTAGCAGAGATTCGATGACAGACTTCCTACGAATTTCACCGGTCATTTTTCCTAATATTAATACGAAAAAATTCAAGAAAAAAAATCCAAAAAACTCCATCGAAAGGGAAATTTTGCGGAAAAAGGCGACGAATAGGGATGAGGATTTGAATTCCCGCGATGTGAGAATCCTAGGCCACGGCGGCAAGCCGGCGTTCCCTCAAGTGGCCTACAGTGGTTTCTATGATATTATTCTGGTACAAAACAGTCGGAGATGTAGAAGAGAAACGCTGGTGGCCTTTGCCGAAGGTCCCACAACGACAACTACCGTAACCTGAAACTTTCGATCCCTTTTTACGATTACTATTGCTTTTAGACAATTTTTTGTTGTTGAAAACCTACAAACGAACTGATTTTTAATTTTAGAGTCTAAAACTCTCGAGTTATGAATCGTTGAGTTTTTCGAAAATCAGAAAGTTCTAGAATTCTAAAGAACCTCAGTTTTTCTCAGAATCTCAGAATTTGGAAATTCCAGAGTTTTCGGAAGTTTTCAGAAGGTTCAAAACTCAAAAAATGTGATTTTCCCCAACTTTCTCAAATTTCCGGAATCTTCAATTTTCGCTATATCGCTATAATATTACTCATTAAGATTTTTTTTCGTACAATTTATTTTTCCAGGATCTGTAATTCAAAATTTCGAAGATTTTTGAAATTTTCAGAATCCGGAAACTGCACTTTTTTAAAGTTCAGAACTCCTCCATTCTGAAGGAAAACCGAAATTCCAAGTTTTGCAAGTCGGACTCAAAAAATTACAAATCAGTCATTTCATAACAAAATTTCAAGATTCCGGGAAATTAAAAAGTTTTGGAAAATTATATTTATTTGGTTCCGGAAATTTCTGAAATGCTCCCAAAAAGTTCGAAACTTCAAAAACCTGGAACTTGGAATACGGTAGTTTGACATAGACTGAGACCAAATTCGTGTTGTATATTCAAATGATTACCCTAATTAAGACCTTAATTAAGAATCCTCTGGTTGTGAAGAAGTACTTTTGCTGAACTGGTGATGACAAAAAGAAACAAAAGAGGAAAACGCAGAAAGACTGTTGCCATTTTCATTTCTGTTTCTCTTTTGTAAATGTATTTAGCCTCTTTTTATTTAGCCAAAAAACATTGCTTGAATGATTCAACATTTTCTTCTTAAAAAATCTAAATCTTGAATCATATTAACGTTTGCTCAGCAAGATGAACATAATCGTAGAAGAAGTGCGTACGCTCGATGAACTTTTTGAAAAGGAAATCCCAAGATCTATTCTCATATGTTTAAGAAGTTTCTGAGATAGAGTGTTCGTTGGATTCAGACCGCGGTCTACAATTACTATTAGCTTTGTTGACTCATTTTGCGGTATTTTCCATTAATCCGAAATGAGACGCAGCCCACTTTTTTTCTATATATTACTCTGGTACAAAAAATCGGAGCTATGGAAGAGAAAATCTGGTGATCGTGGCTGAAGATCCCACAACGACTACTACCGTAACCTAAAATATCTTCATTTTCAGTAATTGTGTTTTCTATTTTTACTGCTTTTCATTGAGTTTCCTGTTATTTTTAACTCAAAAACGTCCCAAAATAAAAATTTTTGGTAGTGAAAAACTAACAAATTATTTTTTGGAAAAATTAATTTTGAGCTTATGTATCTCATTCCCTGTAAAAGATATCAAAAAGTGATAAACAAATAAAATGTTGCTGATATTATGATAAACGATTTGTCAGTTGACTGCATTTTGATATCTCTTACAGGAAATGAAATACATGAGCTTAAAGTCGGCAATTTGGGTGACGTTCTATTAGGGCGTTTAAAGTATTTCTAGGTTACGGTAGTTGTCGTTGTGAACCTTAAGTCATTTTTCTCGATTTCCGTACGATTTCAGGCAATGTTTTCGCTATCAAAAATTGTTATTTTGCGACTTTTCTGGTTAAAAATATAACAAAAAAAAATCAAGAACTGGTGAAAATAAGTCCTTAAAAATGAAAAAAATTTCTCCAGAAATGTCGAAAGTTAAACATTTTTGATAGCGTAAACATTGACTGATATTGCACGGAAATCGAGGAAAAAACGCTGAAAATAAACATATATGTAGGTTACTTGTAGTTGTCCTTATGGGACCTTCGGCCACCGGCGCTTCTCTTTCACAACTCCGATTTTTTAAAAAATACGATCATTATTTATATCTACAGAAACAACTTTCACCCTGTTCTTTATAAATTTCAAAGATCATAATATACAGTCAGGCTTATCACAACTCGTTTTTTAGGTCGCCTTTTTTTATATTTTCTGTTTGCCCTGTAAGAGGTTTCCGGTGTTCTCTGTACAATAACTCAAAACGAAATTCAAATTTCCTAAAAAAGAAAATGAAAGTTTTAAATCAGAAATGACACAAATGTGTTGTATTCATGACAATACCATTATTGGTGGTCTAATAACTTGTTGTCTCAATTTTTTTTTCTTTTGTCTCGTTTTCTTATCACAAAGGGCAACAACCCCTTTTTTTTTGATTACAAAAAGGACGGTTTACAAAAGAAAAGAGTAAATGCTTTTGCAATCTGCGTCTTCTCTTCTTTTTACAACTTAAAAAAAATGTTTTTTTTGTCTCAAATGAAATAAGGAATATCCCCCCGGTTTGTCGAGGCCTTTCTAATCCCGAATGACTGGCATTTATGGCGGATTTTTGGAGAAGAGAGATGTGATATGATATAATCTTGTGCTTTGAGCATACTTCTTCTTGATTTTTTTCTTCCTTCTGCTTACATTTTGCTTTGATTTCGATTTCAAAAACAACGGAAACATCTTGTTTGTTGTGTTGACGTGGAATTCAGAATTCCAGAAGGCAATGAGGTCATCAGAAGTAGAAGTTGATGGAACTACCCGTTGAAAAATATGATGTTAGCGCGTATATACTTGAAATTTGAAGCTAGAATTCAAGTCAGAATAGTATTGTTTTTGTCCAATATGTAGTGGATTTACCTTGATCAGAGAAAGAGGAAATGTATAAATAAGAGTGTCAGAAAGCAGAATCAGAATTATTTGAGCTAGAATTTCACTTTTTCGAATTTTCAACTCTTTTTATCGAATTTTAAGATTCACTTTACTTTTTGAAGTACCGTAAAACCTGTATATGTATCTAGTTTCCTGTAAAAGATATCAAAGAGTGATAAACTAATAAAATGTTGCTGAAATTTTAATGAACAATTTATCAATTGTCAGCTTTTTTTTATAACTTCCACAGTAACCGAAATTAACAAGCTCAAATTTGACAGTGTGGAGCCCTTCTGTTACAGGTTTTACGGTATATGAAAACAAATTGTTTCACATTCAAAAACATGATTTTTTTATTCAAAAGACATCTAGGAAGTAAACTTTAAAATAGCAAGAACTCAATCAGCAAACGGGTGTTTTTGACGCCAAATGCCTTTTTTTTAATGACGATCGGGGTATCAGCTGCTGTTTCAGAAACAGCTATATATGGGGAAACCTTTCAAAATGTCAAAATTTTCTTGAATATCTTACTAGCCAAATTTTTAAAAGTTATGTACATGTCTATAGATCAGTGAGAGCAAGAGTTTTTATTATTTCTTAAAGGGGACTTTTTTTCAAAAGTTATGTACTTTTCTAATATTACTTTTAAAACATTCCGAAATCCTCGAAAATATTTCGGAATTTTCGGAGTTGTTGATTTTTGGAGAATTTGAAATTTTTTGGAAAATTTGATTTTTGGGATTTCAGAATTATGGAATTTTTGCCTTTAAAAAAGGCGTCTCGCCGCCATGGCCTAGAATTCTCACTGCGCGGGAATTCAAATCCTCGTCCCTAGTCGCCACCTTTTAAAAATTTCAAACGACAGGGAGAATCCTAGGACACTGCAGCGAGACGCATTCTTTAAAAGGCTAAATTTCGAAAATTCCATAATTCTGAAATTCCAAAAATCAAACATTTTAAAAAATTTCAAAAGTTCCAGAAATGTAGAAAATTCCGAAAACTTTTTTTTTTCAGGGATCCCAAATTTTTACTGGATTTTTCGAAGTCATATTATGAGGATACGTAACATTAGGAATGCTTTAATGGAAAATTTGAGAAAAAATTTAGTTCAGAGTCCCCTTTTCATGAATTCTTTAATTTAATAGAAGTTCACCCTATACTTGCACTTTGAGCTCAATTATCTTAATTTCTACAAAAGGAAATGAGAACCTGTTAACTGATAAAATGCGTGTCAGCAACATTTTATTAGTCGACAAAGTTTTGATATCTCTTGTAGAAATTGAGATAATTAGGCTCAAGGTGCAAGCAGAAGGTGGAATTCTATTGGAGTGTTCATGGTAGTTTAGACTCGAATGTGTTTTGAAAAAACGGTTCTGAAGAAGAATAAATTAGTAAGTTTTATATCTTAAGACGATGTTTTGGTTAAACGAGCTCCAATATTCGAACTTGCAAGATTCTAGCTTCCGAATTAAAAAAAGAACTTCTATGCAAACTTAAAAAAATTATTTTCTCCCACCCACCATGCTATTCCTATTCATTTTTGTTTCTAAACTCGTCCTTCCTGTCACTAAAAATATCTAGGACTCCTCCGCTTCCGATCTCTAACTTCCTGGCCTCGTTAATTCATAAAAAGTTATGTTATGTTGACTTGGAAAAAGTTATGTTATGTTGACCTCCTCTTGCATCCTTCCGGGTGAACTTCATCCTGAGCTACTTTTCAAATATTTTTTTTCAGATCATCATTTCATATCCCAAAAAATGATTCACTTTGTATTTATAGTGTCTTCTTGAACTGCTGTGCATCTCCTTAAACCCCTCTATCTCTCTCTCTCTCTTAAAATCCTTCGCATACTAATCTGATAGTGAGTGTCTCATCGTCACACACACGTGCTCCTTCTTCAATAATAATAATGCTTCTTCTTTGATTCATTCTGCTGCTGCTGAAAATGAATATAATTAAGATTTTATTTTATTTTATTGATGAATTAATTGTTTGAGCTTATCTTTTCTTTTCCAAAAAAACGGCCCGATGTCTTTTCTTAGTATTCCTTCAGACAAAGAGAAAAAGTTCGACGCTTAAAGTGTCTGTTAGCGCGGAACAAATTCAATTTGTGATCTTGAACACTTTCCAAGTTTCGTTCAAAGAACATAAAAATGTCTAGGTTCAAAAACACTTCCCATTTTTTTTTCATTATTTTCTTTTTTTATTTCCTCATTCTTTTTGATTGGAACATGTAATCTGAAACTATCTGTTTCTTCCTTAAAAAGTCTTATAAGACTCTTTTCTACTCATACATGAGCAATTTGATTATTTGTTCTTCTTTTACTTCTCCTTCTCTTATCCCCCTTTTCTCTTCTCCAGATTCTCGATATTCCGTAACTTTTCCTTTTTAATCAATTAAATTAGAAGAAGACATATTCTACATTCCTTATCATTTTATATCTCTGTGGCTGTTTCATCCATTAGTTATCTAATCCCCATGAATCGATTCTTCTTTTGGAATTTGAAATTTCAATATTTGGTCTAAAAACTATCAAAAATTGATTCGATACTGTTTTTGGTCAGTCTTTGGTCTGTTTTTGGTCCGCTTTTGATCAGTTTTTAGTTCGTTTTTGGGCAGCTTTTAGTCCGTTTTTGGCCAGGTTTTAGTCTGTTTTTGGTAAGGTTTTAGTCCGTTTTTGGTCTGTCTTTGGTCTGTTTTTGATCAGGTTCTAGTCTGTTTTTGGTCCCTTTTTCGCCCTAATTGGTCCTGATAGGACTCCTAATAAGATTTCTGAAAGCTTCAATAGTTTGAACTTTTTCGAAAAGTGATATCTAAAAAAAAAGATTTTTATGAACTTCTGAAACTGGAAATTTTGCACATTGTATGTAGTTTCCCTCTGAAAAAAACTGCAAATTTGTACTCTGAACTACCATAATCTGCAAAATCAATTTTTCTGTTTTCAAAATTTTATCCCACCCATTTTTGAAGGTGTTAGATCTACATTTTTCGTTTTTTCTTCTTCCCAGGAAAAATTCAAATTTTTTCGTGGGAAGGATAAGCGGAAAAACAAATGTTCTGCATAGAAAAATATGCATTTTTTTGAGGGATCATCCAGAAAAGTCAACCAGTTGGGTGCTCAGAAAATGCGAATTTTTTGGTGTATATTGTCTAGTTTTTTTTTACGGAAAGTTAGCAAAATATATTGAGCCCTGTTTTCTGACTGTTAGGAAATCTTAAAAATGGATACCATTTGAGAATATGCTCAAAATTTGCACAGAAGAACTTTTGAAAAGGCTGAAACTGTTTCATCCACTCGTTTTCCAGAATTTTCTGGAGTGCGAAAATCATTTTTGAACATTTCTCTATCACCTGAATTAGTTTTTGAACAATTTCAAAAACCACTTTTTTTTACCATGGGGAGGGACCCTTTAAAAGTAATTTTTTGAAAATTTTGTGAGAAGTTCTAAAAAATTTCCAATTATTCAGAAATGATAAATCTACCATTTTTCAGCCCAATGTTGTTTTTGAGCACAAAAAGTGTTGTTGTTGTTGTTAGAACTTCGACAATCCCTAATAAATAAATAAAAATTGGGTTACTGTAAAATCTCTAATAAAATGGCGTCATAACTTTCTTTCAACACTGAGACAATTTATCTCGGTTCCCGTTGAAGATATAAAAAGGTTGTCAACTGATGAATTGTTTATCATAATATCACAAACATTTCACCAGTTGACAAAATTTTGATATCTTTGATAGGAATTGAGATAATTGAGCTCAAACTTGACAGTATGAGCACCCTTCAATTACAGGTTCTACGGTAACCAATAACCTTCAAATGTTCACAAGTTCAATTTTCATTTTTCGCTCAGCTGAAAAAAATCCCAGCATTTTAATGCACTTTTGCTCTTGATTTTTGAAAAGCAAAAGAAAGTGCAACAAGAAATGGATCTTCTATAATTATTTCTAAAATTTCCCGTTCATTATCTCAAACTCGACAGCGAGGTGCTCTTCTATTACAGGTTTTATGGTATTTCAGTTTCAAGAGTAACCTAATTGTTCTGTGACGTGGAATAATCTCATTCATCTCTTATCAATATATTTTCCTCTTCTCCTGACGTGCCTCCTGCTGCTCTCCTTGGTTGTAGCTTCTTGGATACAAATCCTTCCACCCTCAATTTTCTCCCCCGCCTCAAGCTAACATATCCTAGATTTTTCTCCGTTTTTTTTCTTTTTGATTCAAGGTCTTCCTATTCAATGTTCGTTTTTTTTTGTTCCACCCGTTTGTAATCGACTTCTCCACCTTTTTTTTGTTTTTTTGTTGATTTACAACCGTTTCTGATTATTTTCTTTGTTTTCCGGTTTTCTAATTTCTTATTAATTTTCAGAGGAGATGATGTCTCCATATTTTGCCGGTTTCCTCTATTTAGCCACAGTAATAACCGGCCTATTTGGGAATATTTGGGTCGTTTGCTCAGTAGCCAGAAGTCGGAAACCAAAGTGAGTTTTTCACTAAATTGATACAGTGATAATTATTTATCAATCATTTTTCAGATCACTAATGTCCAGAAGTTCGCCTTCAGATCGATTACGAGCTTATATTTCAGTGTTAGCAGTGATCGATTTAACAGTTTTGATGGCTCTTTTAGTCAGATCTCTTTATCATTTTTTACCACATTTCATGCTCGGTGAGTTTCAGCAAAAATCTTGAAAATAAAAATTTGGAAATTTTCAGATTCCAACAGTTGTCGAGCAATGTTTGTACTAGAGAACAGTGTGAAAATCACTTCGCTTACAGTACTTTCATGTATCTCTATTGAGCGATACATTACAATACGGAAGCCATTCTGTAGTGAGGTAAGGTTTATTCCTTTAAAGGTGGGGGACTTTAAAAACGTATTTACCAAAATTCCGTTTGAATTGGCAGTTTAAATATCTTTCATTTGCACGTTAAATCAAGTTTCTAGACCATCTGGAAGCCGAGATACAGTCATTTGAAGCTTTACACAGACAACGAAACACTCTAACTGTCTGCGTCTCTTCAAAACTTCAAATGGCTGTATCTCAGCTTCAAGATAGCCTAGTGACCTCATCTTTGAACCAAAATGAAGCGGAAAATACAAAAACTAGCATTGAAACCCAATACGTCAGAATGCATAGCCTAACTCAAAAAAAAATATCCTGCCCCTTTTAAAAGTTCAATAACCAGTATCCAAAATTTTCAGGTTCGCCGACAATTCGTAAATGCTACACCAATCGGAGCCTCTATATTTGTTGGCCTTGTAATTGGGCAATCATCTGTCAAATCAATTCAGTAACAGTATCAACAGATGGAATGAATTGTGTTCGATCGTATCGAGGAAAGGCTCTTCCACGAGTGGCTGCCTATTTGACAGCTGTGGCTTTTTTAGTGGATCTCACTCTGATTTCTTTGAACTATTCACAAATTGTACGACATGTAAGAAGGAAATTCACAAAGAGGAGAGCTAGAGGTGAGTGTTATTCTGTATTTCGACTTTTCAAAATCTATAATACTATTTTTCAGTGCAAGCTAATTCAAGAGTCCGCGAATCTCTAGTGAATGAACCAAGATACATGAGAGAGATGACAGCTGCAATTGTTCGTGTTGGAGTGTTCCATGTTGTATGTTGGCTACCAATGTCTCTGATGCAGGTTAGTTTACAAAAACCTGTAATAGAAGGGCTATCAACTTTGGGCCAATTTATCTCTGTTCTCGTTGAAAATATAAAAAAGCGTTCAACTATCAAATTGTTGATCAGAATATCACAAACCTTTTATTAATTTACACCTTTTTGATATCTGTTATAGGAATTGAGATAATTGAGCTCGAACTTGACCGTTCAATTTTCGATTCTCGCTCTTTGGTTAAAAAAAAAGAAATCCTAGAATTTCGCTGCACCTGATCTTATTTGATTTTCAAAAAACAAAAAAAGTGCAAATAAGAAATTAAAGAGTCTGATCTTCTATTAATATTGTCCCTAATACATTTTTTCAGTTCATCCCCGACAATTCGATTCAATCGGAACTAACTGCTGGCATTCGTTTGTTCAGTAACTTCCGGGACTTCAGGTAATTCGAAGATCGTCTTCTCAAAAATTTTAATCTTCAATTCATTTCAGTTTTACTCGATGGTTAATCTTCATCGCCACCTGGCTTACCTCTACAAATGCTGCTGGTGACTGGATTTTCTACGCGGTTATGAATCGAGACCTTCGAAATCTCATTAGGTATGTTTTTGATCTTCTGAGAAAGAATCAGAATGACCTCACAATTGGCTTTTCTTTCTAATCTTTCTTTATTGTTTGTTTACAAAATCCCCTGAACATGACACCCTCTAATCCTTTAATTTGAAAGTTGTCGATTCCAAACAGAGGTTAATCTTATTAGGCTAACAGGGAAATGAATTGGTTTCGATCATCACAATGGTCTTGTGAGAGCATTTTTGATCATAATAATAATATAGTCAGGTGAGAAGAAATGTTAGAAGAAGTGGAACGGCTTCTTCTTCTTAGAACTTTGGTAGGCAGACATAAAATGATATATGATCAAAGATTTTTTAAAAATTTAAATTCTTCAAAAAAAGACTTTCAGATTTGCCACTGAACGGAGAAAACGATCAACAATGTCTCATGCAGCGTCTCCATCCACAAACCGAAGTCTTCGGCAACAAGTACCTCCATCCATGAAAGTTCTTCATTCAATCTCCTACCGAAGTTCAATTGGAGGATCAATGGACGATGCAGCTGGAGCATCGTTCCTTCAAAGTTCTCCAAAAGAGTCAACAGTTTCACAAGAGCCAAACAGTCCATATGGAATTCGAGCGAAGATCAGTATTTTAACGAGAAAAGGATCGGACACCGATGGAGATATGGTGTGATATAGTAACTTTTTGTAATATGCGATTTAACTTTTCCTTATTTTTCTGATACGGTTTTTTTAATATGGGTTATTTTCAAAATGGGTGCAAATTTTTTTTTTCAATTTACATGCAACAAATAAAACATGTGTCTTTTTATAATCGAGTTAACACATTAAAGCCACTTCGAAACCAGTCATTTCGAAACCGTGCTAATACAAAAGAATGGATGAATTTCAGACTACAATAACAATTTCGGGAGTTTCAAAACACACTCTCAAATCAGAAACGAATCCAAAATGTGAATTTTTAAAAATAAATTTTTTTGAATTTTTCGAGTTTCAGAATGTGTCCTATCAGAAAATCATATTTGAAAACACTGAAATTGTTTTTGTAGTCCGAAATTCAGCCATTCGCTTGTAGTGTCGTGCTTTCGATTATTGAGCACCATCAAGCTGGTGCGCCTTCGGCGCGTTTTAATCCAGTTTTTACTGGTTCGTCGCTTCTCTCTTTTTTCTTAAAATGTCACTTAAATCTATAGTTATTTTCAAGCCTTTCAAAAGTCGACAGAGTGACAACGGGACGGACAGACGCCTCTAGCGTTTTATATATAAGGAATATTACCGTAAAGTCTCTAATAGAAGGGCCCCATAACTCATAACTTTAAGCTCATTTATCTCGGCTCATTTAAAATATATCAAAAAGTAATCAACAGATAAAACATTCCTCATAAAATCACTTACATTTTATTAGTTGACACATTTTTGATGGCTTTTACGGGAACCGTGATAATTCAGCTGAAAGTAAAAAGTTAGGGGGTCCTTCTATTAAAGGGTTTTACGGTACCGTAGTTAACAAATCTTCTTTACTTTAATTTTTTTTTCTCGGTTTGTGTCCGTTTTCCGGCAATTTTTCAGATTTCTAACAATTTCATTTCCCGATTTGATCGGAGGTTTTTAACGCAAAAGTTGTAGAAAAGCAACACTAATGGAGAAAAAGAACTGAAGAATGTAGGTTACGGTAGTTGTAGTTGAAGGACCTTCGGCCACGGCTACCGGCGTTTCTCTTCCATAGAGCCAGTTTTTTTTAATACAAGCATAATAATAGTGGTTGGGGTTACTGTAACTCTTGAAATCTGTTGCAAGTTTAGGGATAACTCATGTACAAATAATACAATGAAACATGTTTGAACATCCTTTATTTGCAAAAAAAAAACGGAAAATTAATAGGACAAAATGTTCTGGAAGTTTGAAGAATAGTCTGGTGTCAATCATCTGTTCAAACAATTTTTGCCGTTGGAGAAACCAGTATAAATAGGACTATAAGCTCAAAAAAATTCAAATTGTTTCAATATGCACTCAACTACAGTAGCTGTTCTTGCTGCCTTGTGCTCTATTTCTTGGGCTTGCGTCGATTTAACTAATCCAGCGACTGGGAGAAGTGACTGTCCAAACAGGGCGTACCTTTGTACCAACTCTGTTTACCTAACTCTAATGAGAACTCAATGTCCAAGAACCTGTGGATACTGTAAGTGTCTTTTTAGTGGATGAGTATGAGCAATCCATATCACAGGCACTTCATCTACAACCCGTACATCTGTAACCTCTACAACAGTTTCTTCAACCTGTGTCGATAGAACCAATCCATCAACTGGAACCAGTGATTGTACCAGACTTCGTGCATATTGCATGAACGCAATTTATATTCCATTGATGAGAGTTCAGTGCCCAAGAACCTGTGGATTCTGTACTGTTGGTTAAACGATGTGTTCATTTTTTGAGAATTTCTTTTTTTGTTTATTTATTTTAATGTTGTAATCTAATAATAAACATTTTAAACCAAGGCATCGTCAAATTTTTCAGACTTTCGTGAAATAGGCTCAAAAACCCTTTTTCGAATTACGCGCCGAAAATACGAGGTTTGCGAAAGCGCGCTCTGTTGCAAGTGCGACCGCATCGCGTAGCCGCGACGCGGCAAGGGCTACAATTTTCTGAATTCGTTGAGAATGCGTTCAAGGAATGCGTTTATCTTGAAAAATTTAGATGTTTTACTTTTAATTAATGATGTTTTTATTATAATTATTATTACAGACGTTGTCATCGATCGTGCGAAGCTTCCGAACTTGCAGATAAAAATGGGTAATTTTTAAATCTTTTTAATTATAAGTACTATTGCTTCAAAAATTACTATGTATCGATTTTTCAGCGTCCTATGACCAAAATCAGCCGGACTACAGTACGCCGGAAGGCCAAGCCTATTGGGCCTACTACCGACAACAGCAACAACAACAACCAGGGGCACAGCCTGAGGTAAGAATTGTCGCTTTTTCACGAATTTTTTCAATATGTTTCCGTCGTTCTAGCAATACGCTTCTTATAATAACCCGGGAGCGCAGGCAGTAGCAGCTGGGGCTCATGCTCATGATCCGTATTCTAATTCTCAGCAGGATCCATACGCTTCTTCTGCAACCTACGGAGATCAAGCTCAACAACCCCAAAATCCCTACGCACCACCGCCACCAAGTTCTGATCCATATGGACAGTCTTCTGGGCCACCTGCTGGATCAGATCCCTATGGTCAAAGCCGAGGAAGCAGCCGCGGAGGATACGACGGTGGTCGTGGAGGTGGAAGAGGAGGTTACGATTCAGGACGTGGAGGTTATCAGGGAGGAAGAGGAGGCCACGACAGTGGAAGAGGGGGATATGGTGGAGACCGTGGAGGAGGTCGAGGAGGTTATGGAGGAGGAAGAGGTATTATTTCTTCATTATACAGCAGAGATCATAAGGATTGATTTCAGGTGGATATGATGGAGAACGTCGCGGTGGCAGTCGCTGGGACGATGGAAATTCTGATCGGTAGGTAAAACAAAATAGTTTGATAGTCAAAAAACTTTTGAAAGAAGTATAGAAAACGGTGTGTTTCGAAAATATTTTGAGAAAAAAACCGAAAAATGTTGTGTTGTGTTAAAAGCTAAAGCCGCTACAGAGTTCAGGGTGTTCAGTGTTCATATCAAAAATAGTGTCAATTAAAAATGTGTGTCAAAATTGTTTTATCGTGTTTGGATTGGTAAGTTGAGTAATAAGGTCAGTTCCCGATACGGAGCACAATGTGCCCGGTGGGTAAATGGGTTAATAGCCCGGTTTCTCTTAAAATATTGTGCAGTTCAGCTATTATTACATGTAAATGGTTTCCAAACGAGTCGAGAACAACAAATGAAGAAGTCGACAAAACGACTTCGAGTGTGCACGAGTTTCTTCTGTCTGACTCTCTCATGTTTTTATATGATACTGTTCGGTGGCGATTCGAGTATCTACACAAAAACTAAAATAGTTCTGTTAAAAATATGTGATTGGGGCTTTGAAAATTTGAAGTCGTTGATAGCATGAGAGAAGAAGACGGAAGACTCGAAAGATGAAAGATGTTTTGCAGGCAGGGCGGACCTCCAGGAGGAAGAGGAGGTTATCAAGGTATTGAATATGTGATTTGCTTTCTTTATGTGTACTATACCGAGTTCTTTTATAAATACCAACACGGAAAATTGAAAAACGTTCCAGAGAAAAAAACTCGAAACTTTCCTATGCATGATATCATTCACACATAGTCACTGAAACCAAATTTATGTCGATAATACACTCTTTCGTTATAGATAGAGGACCACGTCGCGATGGACCAGGAGGTGGCTCTTATGGCGGCGGTAACACTGGCGGAGCAGGAGCGGGAGGTCGCGAATTCGGCTCTGATGGACGCGTCGAGCTGAAAGAGACTGTTTTCGTGCAAGGAATTTCTACTACGTATGTTTGAGCTGAACAAATATGGTTTGAAAATAGCTCGCAATAAATTTATATTCTTTTTAGGGCCAACGAAGCCTACATTGCCGATGTCTTCAGTACTTGTGGCGACATTGCTAAGAACGATCGCGGACCACGCATCAAGATCTACACGGATCGCAATTCTGGAGAGCCGAAGGGAGAATGCATGATCACATTTGTTGATTCTGCTGCAGCCCAACAAGCTATCACCATGTACAATGGGCAACCATTTCCAGGAGGATCAAGCCCAATGATCATCTCACTAGCCAAATTCCGAGCTGACGGAGGAGACAGAGGTGGTCGAGGTGGAGGATTCGGTGGACGTGGTGGGGGTGGCCGCGGCGGATTCGGCGGACCTATGGGAGGACGTGGCGGTGGTTACGGTGGTGACCGCGGAGGAGATCGTGGAGGTTACGGAGGTGGCAGCCGTGGAGGATATGACGGAGGACGTGGAGGCGGTGGTGGATTCCGCGGAGGCGATCGTGGTGGTGATCGTGGAGGTTTCCGTGGAGGCGACCGTGGCGGATTCAGAGGCGGAGATCGTGGAGGATTCCGAGGAGGCGACAGAGGCGGATTCCGTGGAGGACGCGGTGGTGGTGGAAATGCCAATATGGAGCAAAGAAAGAATGACTGGCCATGTGATCAATGTGGAAACAGTAACTTTGCATTCAGACGGGTCCGTGTATCTTTTTTCTGTTGAAAAGTAATTCAATATTTTTACAGGAATGCAATCAGTGCCAAGCTCCACGACCAGATGGAGGACCATCCGGTGGCGGTGGTGATCGCCGCGGTGGAGGTCCACCAGGAGGAGACAGATACCGTCCATATTGAAGTGCTAACTCAGCTTCAAACTTATTAAAAATTCTTCACAGTTATTTACCCCCTCTTTATAAGATCTCTTCAAAAAGAGAGAATTGTAATAATCCCCCACACTGTCTATTTATGAAATACGTTTTAATTTTAACATTTAATTCCTATTTTCATCCGTCTATGAAAATAAGTTAATTTCTGTTCAGTTCAACAATAAATATGTTGGCTTCCACATCTGTTTTCTTTCCAATTTTTTCCTCCCGCTCCTCCTCCCTCCTTCCATCAGCTGCTGGCGTGTCACTGTCTGTATTCTCTTCTCTCTTCACTTCAACGCTATCTGCTTCTTCATCTCTCTTCTCGTCCCCGACCTCCCTTGTCCCCTCGGCGCCCAACAACCACCTCTCATTCTCCCAAATTTACACTCGGAGAGACTGTCCGTTCAGGACAACTATTCGACCGATAAATGAGCAGTATCACTGGATTACAAGGTAAGATTTTAATCAATCAATCGATGGGAGATGTGGCTGGAAAACGACCTTAATCTGAAAAGAAATATCGAATTTCATCCATTTTAAATTTCGAAACTTTTTTGAATTAAAGAGCTGTGGCCAAAGGTCCCACAACTACAACTACAGTAACCTAGAAATATTTTTACTTCCGGTATTTATTTTCGTGCATTTTAGTCAATTTTTTCGCCAAAACTAGTAGAAAAATCGACAAAAATCAGTGAAAAAACGACAAAAAATTCTGAAACGAAAAATATTCTTAGGTTACTGTAGTTTCCGATGTGGGACCTTTGACAACTACAACGACAACTACAGTAACCTGAAAATATGTTATTTTCCGAATTTATTCATATCAGTCAAACCTAAAAAATTGACGAAAATCGAATAATAAACGACATTTAAACTCCGAAAATACAAATATTTTCAGGTTACTGTAGTTTTCGTTGTGGGACCTCCGAATTTTTTTACAACAGAATAATAACGTCCCATTCTTCTTTAAACTATTGTTTCAAACAACTTTTCTCTCATTTTTCCGGAATTTTGGAGCACCCACAAATTCCCAAATTCTTTTGTCATGTTCTTCATTTTGCTCTCCGGGAACAATGAGCTTATTGGGTCGCCATCTCTGCGTTTCTCACTCTCCCGAACTATTTCCTCTTGCCTATTTACTCAATGACCTACGAATCGTGTTTCGAATCAAAAAAATTAACGGTTTTTTGTACAAAATTTTGTTTGCCCACCCCGGGGTTCTTTCTTCTTCTCAAATCACTCAATATCATTAATCCTACTCCTAGTAACATGGCGGTATGATATCTAATCAAACACGGTGTTAGGGGATGTGATATTTGCAAGAAAAGGGAAAAACAATGTTTGCAGTTAAATCTCTTCGCATCGGTGTGGAACCCGTTGAAGTGGAGTTTGATGAGGATGCCGGCATTTTGTGGACTTCATTGCAAACCGCGTTCCCGGGTAAGTCGACTGGAAGACTACTGTAGATTGAGAATTTTGAAAAAAATTGCGTATAATTGAAATCTAGAAACCAGGTTTTCAAGGGAACTTAAAAAACAGAAGTCAAAAAAGTTAACTACCGTATTCCCTCTAATTGAAGCTCACCCGAACCGTCAACTTTGTGCTCAATTATCTCGATTCCTGTAAAATATCTTCAAAAAGTGTTCAACTGATAAAATATTGGCGATATTATGATGAGAAATTTATCAGTTGACAGATTTTTGTTATTTCCGACAGTAACCCAGATAATTGACTTCAAACTTGAGGGCTTGAGTGGGCTTCTATTAGAGAAAATACGGTAATTGTGAAGATAGAGCCACAAATTATGGAAATTGGTTTAGATTCAACTGAAGAAGGCTAAAATAAATTGAAAATGGCTAAAAATCGGTAAATGTTGAGTGAAATAGGCTAAATTGACTGAAAACGATCATAACTGGTCCACAAAGCTTGGTCCGCCGTTGGTCCGTTTGTTTCAAAATTTCAGATTTTCTGGGACTTTCAGATAAAAAAAACGGGAAAAAATTAATATTTAAAACGTTAAGGAAAAAACACCATATATGGTTTGTATCACTCTCATCTTGCAGAAACATGTAGTATGATTCACGTGAATTCCTGCTGACATAGTATTATTTGGTTGGGTATGTGAGAAATTGATAATAACGGAACAGCGTTATTTCTGTCACTTCCTCCGATGTAGGCATCAAACCTCCCCTACTATCTTCTTCTCCTTTTTTCTGCTGACCTTTTTCTTTTTTTTTTAATTTTTGGAATGTAATGAAATCGAATCATGTAATGGTATGCAAATAATTGGAGAGGGAGGGAATGCATTGTCACCGAAAAAGGCAGAAGAAGCTTTTCTTATCAGTTGGGTCTCCAGATTCCCTACACTATCTAATAGACTATAAGCAATGATTATATGAGGGAAAATGGAGAAGAAAGATGATTAAAAATTACAGGATGTTCTGGGATGTACTATCGAGAAACTGGAGATCCGTGCAAGAAATCAGTTCGATTCGATGGAAAAAAGTTCATGGCTCCGGGCGGAGCATGGAACGATCGAGAATATTATGTGACTTTGAGTAGGGATAGGAAACTTTATTTTTAGGAAAGTTGGTTATAAATTTCAGGTCAAAGATGTCATGCTGCAACTGGAAATCCTGGTCACACTGCTTCCTATAGTGAAGCAACGAAACAATTTGAAAAGAGTGTGCAGGCAGTTCAGAAGATGATGATGGTATCTGGAATGAAAATAGGTAAAGTCTAAATGGGTTAGAATTGTGTAGAAAAGAACTTGAACCACCGTAGTATCGCGCCGAAGGCGCGCCAGCGAGCTGTTCGCAGAAATTCGAGATCTTTTTGATGCAAAAAAATTGTCACAAATAAACAAGTTCCAGACATGAGCCACTTGACAAAGAAAAGACAGCACACTTCATCTCGGGATACAGCTTCCTCAACATCGTCATCTACAGTAACTCCAGATCCGATTCAAGCCATTGAGGAACGCTCACAAATGCTGAAAAACGCTGGAAGAGATTTGAGCCCATTGGAACAACAATTTCTTGATTTATGTCGAATCTCGACGGCCAAAGATCAGATAATTGATTCGAATCGACAGGAGATTTCAAAATTGAATGAGTCATTGCGCAATTTGGAGAAACGATTGAAAGAGAATGAAGCAAGTTTGAAGGAGTCGAATGGTTTGGTTGAATGCAAGCAACAGGAATTGGATATGGTCAGTGAGGCTTTGAAGAAATTGGAAGAATCAAGGCATACGGTAAGTTTATGGGCAAGAAAAGAAAAAAATAAGCAATTTTAAAGATTAGCGAGTTGAGTCAAAAATCTGGAAATTTGGAAGATAATGTCACCGAGTTGGAACTGAAATTAGTGAACTTGGAAGAAGAGTAAGAATTCTATTAGAAGTAAGTAAAAAAAGTTTATATTCAGGAACCAAGGATTAAAAGCAAATTTGGAAACAAGTCACAACAGAATCAAGGAAATGTCAGAAACGATTTCAATGCTCACTTCTTCGAAAGAAATTTTGGCAAAGGTACCGTATTCCCAGTAACAGAAGCACACCCAAACAGTCAAATTTGAGCTCAATTATCTCGATTTCTGCAAAAGATATCAAAAATATGTCAACTGATAAAATTTTTGTCATAATATCACCGATGTTTTGCTAGTTGACAAATTTGTGATATCTTTCATGGTAACCTAGATAATTAAGCTCAAAGTTGACGGTTTTGGTGGACTTCCATTAGAGGAAATACAGTAATTTAACAAGTTTCCTCAAATCTTAAAATTTCTCACTAGTTTTAGGAACTGGATCAATTGAGACCATTCGCAGAGGCAGCTGGAATTGAGGATTACGAGAACGTTCCAACGTTCATTCATGCGATTCATGAAAACAAAGAACTTCACAAAATGAATGAAAGAATGCGAGTAGAGACGGAAGAATCGAAAGAGAACAACAAACAGATGGTGAGCATTCATAGTGAAGTTTTTGAGGAAAATGCGAAATTGAGAAACAGGTAAATTGAACGATTACTGTAGCTTTAAATGTTTCATGTTTTTTTTTTAGGAATGAGGATTTGGAACGACGATTTGCACATGTCGATGAGGAGCTCACTTGTGTCAATGAGAATTGGGCGAAAGAATTGAAAGAGAAACAGCAGGATTGGGATAAAGTTGTAAGTAATTCCCAGACTTATGAAAACAGGTATATTTTTAGACATAAGTATCTTGGAAGCACGAAAATTGGTAGAAAAATAATTTTACGAAATTTTCAAAACTACTCATCAAGTCTAGGAAAGTCTACGTTAGCTTTAATAGAATGACATTCAAACCGTCCACTTTGAGCCCATAAATCTCGTGAAAGATATGAAAAAGAAGTAAAATGATAAACGTTTTATCATAATATCAAAAATATTTTGTCAGTTGACCGCTTTTTGATATCTTTCACAGGAAATGAGATATATGGACCCAAAGTTCTGCGGTCATTCTATGATTGGGTGGCGCAATTTTGATAAAAGCTGGCATATCTTTAGACACAAGTATCTTGGAAGCACGAAAATTAGTAGAAATATAATTTTACGCCTGAATCAAAGCTACTGAAATTTCCAAAGCGGTTCCTCAAGTCTCGCTTTGTTATATTCAAACATGAGCGGCGTAATGCTTCTTGTTATTTTTATGAGATGTAGCAACTTTGACAAGCGATAACTCAGCTCAAAGTTGATCAAACAATTTGAAACTTGGTCAGTTTACTGATAAATTTTTTGAGTTTTTGCATTTCAAATTTGAGCTCAGTACAACACTCTACTCAAGTTTTATAGCAGTACAAACTTGAGTCCTGGTAATCATGCGAGACCCTGTATAACAAAGAAAGGCACTTCAAGAATCTTGCTCAAAGTTCAAAAACTTCAGAAATACGCGGCAGAATCAGAAGTCTTATCACTGCGAGAACAACTAGTCCATCTTCAATCAATTCTCGAATCAGCAACCCGCGAAGCAGCTGAAAACGCTCGAAGGTCAGCTGATCCTCTTCTCGAATACTCACTTTTTTAGCCTCACCGCATTTTCGTTTTGTTTTCTTCAGAAACGTCATCTGGGACTGGTAGAATACACTGTAGATTACGGTAAACCGGAACTGTATCTCTATTTTTACGCAATTCTTATTTTTAAACCCTCTAACAGTCCTCAGTTGAACTAAAACATTTTTTGAAAAGCTCTGAAAATGCTACAATTTTCGTGAATTCCTGAACGCCTCCTGGAACGTTTAAAGTAATATTCCTCGTTTCTACTTTCTTTTTAAAAAATCCCGGTCTTCCGTTTAACGGTTTCCCTATTCCTCGGTTATGCTCAACCCTAATCAGTTAATCAGTTTTCTGATTTTGTAAAAATGTTTTTAAATAAATGATTTTAGAAAATTTTTGAAAAAAAATATTTTCGACGGAGAAATAAGAGGAAACCGGAGAACAGGAAAAAGCATAGAACGTTTGACTTGAATCAAGTTTCAGAGTGTCAGAATTGGAGCACGAACGACATGAGATCCGTCGTCTCTCCGATGCTGTTCATATTAAAACTCAGGTGAGCGGCAGTCCGGTCCATCACCGTCTATCGTCATCAATTCGTTTTTAATTTCACTGATTTTATTCATTTCACTCACTATCAGACAACGCATATCAATTCACTTTATTTATTTAATGTTAATAAATTATTTTTTCAAATGCAGTGAGATTTGCTAATTTTATGTTTGCATGGCTTTGCTTTTAACCTGAATAATCAAGAATTTGAAGTGAAATAAATTTCAGGAAGATCTATCACGTCAAGTGAGAATTCTGAAAGAGAGATTGGCTGAATCAGACAGTCAAGTTGCTGAACTCAATGTTCTTGTTTCCTCATTGGCAGCAGATGCCACAGCTTCACGAAGAGAAATTTCAGATTTGCTTTAAATATTTCTTAATCTAAAAATTCTGATAATCTTGTATTCCCAGTGTTAAAAAAAGAAATTCAGTGTAGGCTTTTAGCCATGTAATAAAGTTTCTCGGACTTTTCAAAAAATTGAAAAATTCACAGATAAATTACATAAAATTGGCATTTTAGACACCAAACTTAGAGGATCCTTAAAATATTGTTAGGTCCCTGGAGAATATAATGGTGGGTATTACTTATCACACTACTATCTGAATAATACCTGATAAATTCAAAAATAGTCAGGAACTTTTTAGAAGACTTAACCATAATCAAGAAAGTTCTAGAACATCTATTTGAGCAAATGACACATTGACTTTCATACAAACAGAACAAAACATGAAAATAGTCCAGTACTATATGAATATAAGCTGGAAACAAGATTCAAGAGTGATCTTTTATTTCTGGTAATAATCGAAAAAAAGAGGAAGCCAGAAGGTTTTTTTACCTCTATGAAAGTTCGAATGAAGATGAAGAGGCATCGATCCGAGTAACTGCTTAGTAATTGATTGAATCTGAAATCAATAGTGTAACAGTAATAAAAGTAACAGCGCATTGAATGAAAGATGTGATATCTTCATATTCAGACGAGGTCAGTTTGGATGGCAACCCAACAACCATCTGAAATTCTTGCGAACCTCATTTGGAAGGAGTACGCGGCGAATCTGGATTCGTTACCGATTCTCCAAACATTTCAAAATGGAGCAGAATTATAATCTAGACATATTGAGTACTTTAGAGACTAAAAGCTTAAAAGACCGGAGTGGACGAAAGTCAATCAATGCAACATAGTGAAATATCTGAAGAATCAGTAGAGCCAGGAAATGGTAACCCGACAACCATCTGAAATTCTTGCGAACATCATTTGGAACGAGCACGCGGTGAATCTGGATTCGTTACCGATTCTCCAAACATCACAAAATGCAGCAGAATTAGAATCTAGATAGGAAGAAGACTTTACAGACTTTACAGACTGGCCTCAGAAACTATGAGTTTCTGTCGATTGTCCCTAGCCTTTTCATCCTACGATCCAATTTATCTCGGTTCCTGTCAACGATATGAAAAAGATGTCAACTGATACATTTTTACTGTAATATCACAAAGATTTTATCAGTTGACACATTTTCGATATCTCTAATAGGAGCCGAGATAATTGTGCTCAAACTTGACAATGTGGGGGCCCTTCTAATACAGGTTTTACGGAATCTGATTTTTTTGTCTTTTTGGAACTAAAAAACGGTTCTGAAATCTCATGAATTTTTGGTCTTGTGAATTTCTGTTTTTGAAGTTTAAACTGAAGTTGAGTTTTTCTTTTCTGATTTATCTGGAATGTTTTAATTTTGGAAAAATGCGTCTCAATTTTTGATTCCCCTCTCATTCAGTATTTATATACAGTATTCGAAGAACATTTGAAAACCGCGCTTCAATGAGGAAATCTTTTTACCGGATCCTTCATCTAAACGAATCCAGAGGACGTCCGATCTTTCGGAGAGGTGTGGATTGCCAGGGAAAAAGGAGAGGAAGGAGAGAGGAGAGCAGGGCTGTGCGAGCAATCGACTTTCGTCGGAAACGAATTGCAAAACACGCGCAATACGAGATTAAAGGCGCACGCAATTTTTCCGATGTGTACGTAAAAATGGTGTGGAAAATAAATTTTATATTTTGAAAAATTTTATTGAAATTTTATTTTTTACGTGTCGAGGCCCGCCGGCGAATTAGCGTGCGCCTTTAATCTCGTATTGCGAAAAAAGCTTGGAAAATTTGCAAAACGTGAAGGTTTTTCTCCCGTCCTCGCCCACCCCTGGAGGAGAGAGGAGATTGCTCTCCAAGTTGGAACTGTTCGTTTTCTTATCTGAGATCTGATCATCGGCACATCGGTTAAGGTTAGTAGAGTATGTTGTGGTGATAAGGCCAGGTCACGTCAGGTTATTCCATAGAAAAATATATTATTCGAAAACCCCGCGGTCTGAAAGTAAACGCAGATATGGTTGCTGAACTCGGTGAAAACATATTTTTTCAAATCAATTGAACTACTTTTATAGTGACGTCAACATAGTTCGATTTTTATGACTTTCAATTTTAAGAAGACCTTTTTTATCTTTCTCCGCGGTGTTTTGAGAAGCTCTCATTCAAGACCACTTATCTCGCTTGGTTGAATTTGCACAATGAAGTTCCCAATGACAAAATGTAGCTCGTGTTTTGTCTAATCAACTCTGAAATTTACAGGCAAATCGAAAAATTCTGCTAGAGATTCTAATAGTAATTCTGTAGTCCACAAAAAAAGGTCCTTGTTTGCAAGTCTCAGAGATCGTTCTGTAATTTTTCTAGCCTAGACTTCCAGTCACATACCACATTTGTGTTGTCGATACAAAGCAGATAACACTTTTTGACTTGTGTCTTGAATTCCTGAATTCACCGTAAAACCTCTAATAGAACGACACCCGGATCGTCCACTTTGAGCCTATATATCTCATTTACTGTGAAAGATATCAAAAAGTGGCTAACTAGTAAAATGTTGCTGATAT